TCAAAAAAAAAAAAAAAAAAAAAAAAAAAAATTGAGCAGAGGAGGAAATGACGGAATCATCGGATGAGGTAAATTGAAAAAAGAATTTTTAGTTGGCTTTTTTCTATCAACTTTTTTCCTCTACGATTTTTTTTCTGTTGTTGTTGCTGATTTTTTTAAAGATTAAGCGCAGCAAATCTGCTGATTTTTGTTAACAACTGATTTTTAACTTTAATCTGTTGCTCTTTGCCCAAATAGCTGCTTTTACTGGGATTTGGTTGTTGCTGTTGCGGTTGTTGTTGTTGTTGATGAATTTTTAATATTTCTGTCAGTGTTCTTCTGATAAAATTTCTGTCTTTTTTATTGACTGCAAAAAAACCTAAAAGAAAACTTTGACTGTGAGTGTTTGGTGCATTGATTTTTATTCTTCTGAATAGACGAAGGAATTGAGGTTGAAAAAGAAGAGCTGCACGACAGAGAAATGAGTTGGATAAGTGAAGGCCAAAACTGAAAAAAAAAACTCAATCTGTTGTGCAACGAATAAGCCGATAATTACGTTTAGCGAGTTTCTTTTTATCATTAGCATTCAGAATTGTTGCTGTCATAATTTGAATGTAGCAAAGAAAAAAGAACCTTTTTGGGTCTGAGTCGTTGAAATATTTGGGAACAGAGGTAGCTGCTCGATAATGAAGTTTTTTTTTTTTATTTGCTTTGCATGTTTGTTTGGATGGCCAAATTTCATCCTTTTTTTTCCACTTATCACACACTGTACGGTTTGAAAAGCACTGAACAAAAACTTTTTTCATTTACAACATCCAATTCTAACTTCACTTTTTTGTTATATTTTTTTATATGCTTTTTAATTTTTACAAATCGTTTTTCCTCAAACAGAATGGCTTTGAAACAGTCGACCAATCAATTAATCAAATATTGCAACTGTTTTTGTTTTTTCTTGTTTCAAATTTATTTTGCAGTAAATAAATTTATAAAATCTCAGTTTGTTAAATTTTCTTGAAATCTTTACAAAACTTTTGACACCTACCAACATTATCGGATTACTAAATGATTTGGTTTGGTTGAGAGCAACGCTGCACCGTGCAGATTATGTATTAAAAAATTCTGCATACGTGATTTATCAGATGTGTCGCCAGCTTATAAAACCTATTAGTCATTTTTACTGAAATATGACTGTAAAAGTACTGCAGTTTTTGCAACCAAAAAATAGTATTTTGTTGCTACATTTAACAGAGATTGCACCAGCTTTACCACCGATATTAAACCTTCTTTTTCAACTGAACTATTAATCAAGCTAAAAAACGGCAATTCTCTTCTTTTTACTGGCCTAACGACAATGTATTCAGCACGAATGCCAACTTTGGATGAATAATACACACAGATACATCGATGCATCTTTTAGAACTATTACTGTTGTCTTTCGATGTTTGCAAACAAAAGCACTTCTCTACGTTGAAAGGATTTTTTTCTTTTGCTATCCCAACAACACATTACAATTTGTAATCGCCGCAATTTGGTGCTTTTTTTTGAACATAGAATTACATAGTTTTTGCATCTCCTTTTCTTTCCTATTTCTTTTTGTTATTTTTATATGTGTCTGTTAAACCCCTCTTTGTTTAATTAAGCAGTTATGTTGCTAAATCTTCTTGAAACACTAAGCATATTTACCGATGCACTAAGCATCAGTCTTTTCTCAACAGCTTTCCTCAAGTTCCTTTCACTTCTCCCGACTCGCAAGGTTTTAGCACCGCAACTGATGATTAAGCAAAGAGACTGGTCTTTATCTCAATAAAGTTCAAAATTGTTTGGGCCTTCACGCTTCGCCCTAACAGATAAACCGATGTCGTATGACAGGGGACCATCAATTCTGCAAAACAAAGTGCTTATCTTGAAGACAGTTTCTAATTGCATACAAATGAATTTTTTCAACAGTTGCAAAAAATGCAACAGCTCAGATGATGGAGGGCGGAGAGGAGAAATTTGGAAATCGAAAAAACCACCTCCCCTTGTTTGTTCTGCGGTTTAGGTTTACTCAATATCTGTTGCAAACTGTTCGACAATTACTGAAAGATCTTTGTTCTGCTTGACAGAGCAGCAAAAGTATCAGGGAAAAAAACCAGAAACAACAGCTATTTTAATCAACTAACTAATCAAAGCTGTCGCTATTGGATACGTTATATTTCAGCAAATTTGAAACCTTCAGTAATCCTACCCATCTAATCTTTCTTTCTTGTTTTTGTTGTTATTGCGTGGCTAATTTTAAATAATTTTTTTTCATTTTTTTGCAACTAGAAACTGCAAAATTATTGATGTGCCGACATTTTACATCTGAAGTACAATCTTTAGAATGTATTAAAAATTAATTAAGCTACCCCTAAAAATTTGACTTAACACGTCTTTTTTTTTCAGCAACGACAGCAGCCGAAAGACAATGTCACGATTTGTCAACAAAGTATCGATAATCACAGGTTAATTATGATTTTTTTCTTGTCCTGTAAGGTTTTAAACTTTTTATAACCAAATGCGGTTAGAAGATCTCTTTTTTTTGTTTGGACTATATTGGTTTACTTTTAATTATAGTTGTTAGCTGTCATCTGCTGTCTTTTACTTTTCAAATAAATCGTACTTTGTCAAAAAAAACTGTTGTATAAAGTTTTCTAGATTAAGAAATGAGGAAGAAAAATGCTATCAGGATACCTGAAACATTTTCAAAAAAATAAGAATCAATACAGGCCTTTGTATCTCAAAAGTTAATTTCAGACACTAAACAATTGTCTTTACTAAAATTGTTAGATCAGTGCTGTTTGGTATAAAATTTTTGTTAAAGGTTCCAGCAATGGTATTGGAAGAGCAACAGCAATTCTGTTGGCTACCGAAGGATCAAAAGTTACCATTACCGGAAGAGATGCCGAAACATTAAAGGCACGTAATATTTTACAGTTTCTATCCAAGAAACTAGAAGACTTATAAAGAAAAATGATACATTTTTGTGAAAAGTATCAGCTTTTTTTGTCTTTATACGGTTACAGCGAAAAACAGCTAGGATCAACAAAAAATTGTTTAAGAAAAAATTTGTGGTAATAATTTTTGCAAACAGCTTTGAACAAAAACAACTGGTCAAGAATATTTTTGCTCATAAAATACGATACGCTGGAAATTTCGAAACATCTAAGGACGATTCTACAAATCGGTCAGGTTAAATGTATTAAATGGAAGATAATAACAAAATATATAACAGCTAAAGGCATAATCAAACGGTAGTGTATCAAGCCATGGTACATGTAAATCCTGTAGACAGAAAAATGTTGCAGGAAACAGAAACGGAGTGTATAAAAGCTGGTTCCAAAAAAAGCAATATTCTTCCAATCCTTGGCGATATCACAAAAAACGTAACACAAGACCAACTGATAAAAGAGACCTTGAAGAAGTTTGGAAAACTGGATATTCTGGTAATCTTACAACATATTTCAATTATACTATTATAAACTGAGGCACTGTATATTATCCGCCTTCTTCTGCAATACTATGACTTAAGTGACTGCTTTAAAAAAAAAAGACACAAAATTGAATAAATCTTTTAAGAAATTCACTTAAAAATTTCAAAATTTTTAAAGATGCCGTAAAAACGCAAATTTTCAATCAGCTGTCTACCACACACTGCTTTAAGATCAACAATCATGGCGGACTGTTACGGGAATATCACAAAACTGGTGAACATGATCTAGACGCATTCGATGCCGCTCTAAATCTAAACACGAAAAGGTTTCTCGAAATGTTATTCTTCTACAAAAGTCGTAGGCAGCATAAAATAAAGTTTGACTGAAATTACTGGATAATGAGAACTTCCGATGGTCTGTTATTCCACTACCCATTTATCGCACAGAGTTGTATAGCTGGATTCAAAATCTTTTGATAGCTATCAGAATTACAGAAAAGTTTAAAATTTCAGCTCATTTGCAATGTGTATAAAGGCTGCTCCTCATCTTAAAAAAACAAAAGGTTGTATTGTCAACGTCAGCAGTGTAGCGTCCAAACTCGCAGTAATTACTTCTGAATCAACTGCTTAATTAAACCCAAGAATGAACAAGTGCTAACTTTAACTTTAAATGGTACAAGCCGTCAGTTGTGCCTTCGACTACAGGCATTTATCCACCCTTACTGGTGTACATTCGCCTATAATCAATCCAAAATTTTGCCTCTATTTTCATTTGCAGACAGATCCAAACCCATGCTATTCAATCGCAAAAGCCGCTCTCGACCATATGACTCGACTTTTAGCCGCCAGGTATGCAAAAAATGGTGTCCGAGTCAACGCTGTCAAGTAAGCTTTCTTTTTTAAACACTTTTAGATTCAACTTCCTTTGACAAATATAGATTTACAATAGATGCGTCAACAAAAATTATCAGACCGCTTGTAGAACTAAAAAGCTGAAATAAGTCTCTCAAGTAGCAGAAATATTTCAGCCCTGGATTTGTAAGAACATCACTTATGGAAAAAATAGGAGTGGCTAAGGACATACAAGACGAGGTAGGTTTCAGGTGACCAAAATTAAAGGAAAACTTTAACAAGACATGAATATAAATTGCATAAAACCACTGCCTCCGTGACTGGACAGGATCATGTAAAATTTTCAGGTGTACGATGTGATCGAACGAGTACTTATACCAACAGGTCGGGTTGGTCAAATAGAGGAAATTGCTCGACTAATAGCTTTCCTCTGCGATAACCACGCAACTGGTTATATAACTGGTCAGACAATTGTTGCTGATGGTGGCCTATCACTTGTCCAAGGCGGCCTAGATCATGAAGAAGTACAGGCTGTGAAACAGAAGCTACCATAATCTTCTTAAGGTTCACTTTCTGTAAAGCCGTCAACGTAATGAAAAGATTTGCAATTTACAGACGACATGTTGTATTCAGTGCCAAAATCCTACACGGCAAAAAAGGTGATTAAGCGATAAAAATGAAGAGTAATCAGGACAAATGCCCACTACAATATCAAAAGCCTACAGTTACTAAATCCATCAGGTTTTCTTCAAGATCGTCTCACACCTAGTTTTTGTCTTCCATGTCATTTACAAGCAAAAGGTAAAGTTCCACTAAAATGAGCCATCAGTAGGCGACATTGTTCTTAAAACGCCAAACTCTTCCTAAATATTATAATAAGTGTAATTTTGTGAGGTGCTCAGTTTCAGCAAAAGCTAAAACTGTCTGACCTTTCACAACCAGTTAAAATCATCATTCCTGCT